TGGAAGTCCTTCCTTGCTGTTTTTACTCTGTGCCTCAGGCTTTATTGTCAGACAGAACTTGAGAAAAGTAGAGTTTGGATTGATAGCAATGAGAAAGAAAAGAGAAAAACAGAGGACCTGTACTTATTTATTTTGGATGGGAAGAGCTCACTGGGTTTTGTACATATCTTCTCACTCTGTGTCTGTGGGATGGAATGGATACATTCTACATGTCTTCTCACTGTGTGTCTGTGGGATAGATAGATACATTGTACATGTCATCTCACTGTGTGTCTGTGGGATAGATAGATACATTGTACATGTCATCTCACTGTGTGTCTGTGGGACGGATACATTGTAGATGTCATCTCACTGTGTGTCTGTGGGATGGATTGGCTATGTCTTAGGGCACACATATGGAAAGACAAGGCTGCTTACATTTATAACTAATTTATAATTTATAACTAACGCCTAGCACAAGGATTTGGATCCAGGCTTCCCAAGTCTAAAAACCTGTTCATGCTACTGTGTGTTTTTTTCAAGATTGACTTCCACTTTAAAACAGTGTGATCTAGCATCCTCTAAATTTAACTAAATATTTAATTAACTTTAATCATTTAATTAAAAATATATTTAGTAGCAAGCCATGTTTAATAAAAAGCTAACAATATACAAAGTGGTCTTGTGCATGGCATCCTCGCCCATTCATACCATTAGGTGGTTGGACCACAGAAGAGGAGGGCAATTAGCATTTTGTGTTATTGAAACTCAATGGCTCATCAACAATAGGGGGAACGCCTGTGTGTATAACCAACTACAAAATTAATTACGTAGACAGCATGTAGATGTGTGTTGATTTAATCAACAGTCCCTCTTCTCCATGGCTTTCTAAAATTCTCCAAATGAATGCGTACTGAGATTGCATAATCATCTCCATCACTGGTATTCTTTAGAACATAGATTCCCAGCGCCTTCTACAAATACCTTCTACAAATACCTACAAATACATATACATACACCTGAATGTATATTTGCAGATCTGTAATTTTCTCTTTCTTTTTTGCCTATTCAGTTATTTTTTCATTGTTGCTGTTGGTGGTGGTGGTGGTGGGGTGTGTGTATGTATGTGTATGTGTGTGGACATCAGAGGACAGATTTTAGGAGTAGGATCTCTTCTTGTACCCTATTAAGGTACGCTCTCTTCTGTTTCAGGAGCTCTGAACACTCCACGCTAGTTGGCATTCAATCTTCCAGTGATTCTGTCTCTGTCTTCCATCTGGCCTTGGGAGTATATAGTTTGCAAGTGCAAGCCACCACACCTGGCTTTTTGTGGGTTTAGGAGATCAAACTCAAGTTATTGGGTTTCCAAGGTAAGGGCTGCTATATCCCAATCCATTTCACTAAAATGACTCTAGGTAAGAACCAAAAAGGGGGTTGAACCCTGAACATTTGGAAGCTTGCTTGGCCTATCTTTTGATTTGAATTTTACCTGTGCAGTGTCATGATATTTAAGGCTCATAAAACAGATTTTCAGATATGTATATGTAGCTAAATTCAGTCCCCACTCACTTTTTCAGCCAACTCCTCTGCCATCTTTAATTTAAATCATTGACTTTAGTGATATTTGTTACACATTAGAAATCACTATTATTAATTTAGTGGGAGCCAGTAAGTTCTTCCCCAGATTGAAATATGTGTGTTTCTTTGTCATAGGTGAATTAAGACCAAAAACTGACAGCTTCAATACACCCCACACTGTAATTGAGACTGACTAGATCCCAAGGGGAAAGTGACAGACAGAATCTGAGAAAGAAAAGGTGCATAAAATTGTTCATTATATAAATTTATAAACATAAACATTTGTTTAGAAAATGCAGCAGACAGGTCTAGGGATACAATGCTTTGGGAGAGCACTTGCCTATCATGCATAAGGCCCTGCCATCAGGATTCAATCCCTTTTACAGGAAAACCAAACAAACCCACTCTACACAGGCACATGAAGACACAGGGACACAAAATCATCAGCGTTTAAACAGTCACAATTGCAAATGCTTCTTTGCCGTTCCAAATCCTTTTCTGCTTGACATTGATAGCAATTATGTATGCTTTTACTAGAACAGGGTAAAAGGGATGATGCATTTATGATCACCAGAGGCAATTGTTTGGTGGTCTAACCGATTAGGGAAAATCCTGGGTGACCGGGTTAAAAGGGATTTCTTGAGTGTGGGGTTTCTCAGAGTTTTTTCACTACCCCAATCTTCTTTGTGATTTCTCTAGGAATTTATTACATGATGTTTCCCCAAGAGTCCCCTTTTCATTAAGTGACCACGGGATGAATGATGTGAGGAACCTGTTTTGAGAAATACCAAATCAGACACATCTCTAACACAGGTCCCTTGGAGATCTCTAATTCTGTAAGATTCTGTGGTGTGTGGTTCTGAATCCCAGCTGCCTGCAAGAATCACTAAGTAGCTTCAAACATGCCAATGTGGGGGGCCTGCCCTAGCAGCAAAGTCAGGGCCTCTAAGATGAACTGGGCTCCACACATCATAGAAGTTATAACTTGTTACCAGCCTGGGGCTGCTGACTAAACAATATGAGCTCCTCTGAAGTGATTAATGCCAATCACTGTACTCCAAGAACTCTGCCTTCTGATCCTATCAAACACCAACAGAATTATGATACCTCATTTTCATATGTCTAAAAACAGGTCTGATGGTATACGCCTTTAAACTTATCATTTTGTGCGTAGATGCAAGCAGATCTCTGAATTCCAGGCCAGCCTGGTCTATAGAGTATGTCCCAAAGCAGCCAGGGCTGTGTAGTAACACCAAGTCTTTCACCAAGTGTGTGGCACACACCTTTAATCCCAACACTGGGGAGTCAAAGGCAGGTAGGTCTCTATGAGTTTGAGGCCAGCCTGATCTATCTAGAGAATTCCAGGACAGCCAGGGCTACAGGGAGAGAACTTGTCCAAAAAAAAAAAAAAAAAAAAAAAAAAAAAAAAAAAACAAAACAAAACAAAAAAAAAAAAACTACCAAAACAAACAAAAACAAAGAAAAACATTTTAGCAGACTTCTTCAAAGTTCTACAGATAGTAAATAAGTCCCGAAAAAGATACACAACATCTTCAGCAACCAGGGAAATGAAATATTTAAAACCCAATGCCACTACACACCTACTATGATTTAGTCAGACCAAAGTCATAGTTCTGGGACTAAAGCTTGCCATCTTTTAAACAATAAATAAATAATAGAAATAAAGAATAAAGAGAAACAAAATGTTTTATAGATGATTTGGGGGGCCAAATCTTCAGTAAAGAAGGGGGAAATTTAAGAGCAGAAGGGACACTAATACAGATGACTTTATTCAATTGTCCATCATAGCGAAAGACCAACCTGAGCAGCGAGGTAGCCTCAAACCAGGGGACAGTGGAATCTCTCAGGGGGCAAGGAGATAGTGAAAGCCAGTTCCATGTGTAGGTGATGTTGCTTCATAGCATGGCTGAGGACACAGGGATCAACACCAAGTAGGCTCACAGGAGTTGCTGTCTGAGGACCACAGGGTTCTAGCTAACTGCTGGACAGTAAGAAGTGAGGGAGGTCTCCGCAGATGTGCAGAGCAGGCAGCCTCCAGGCAGTTAACAGCACTCAAACATGGAGAATATTAGTACCAAAGGCCAGGCTTTTGACATACCGGGTCAGCCTCAGCTTGTGGTGAAGAAACACACAACCTAGCGACTCAATCGAGAACATCCATCTTCCAGTCCCATTTCTATAACATACCTGCTTTGCTAGCTGTTGGAAGGTTAGCAGAGATGTAATGCTGTGCCCAGACAGAGCAGGAAGTGGTCTAGCCAGAAAAGCCCACAGACAGAACAGGGAACATGAGGGTAAGGTCACAAGCTTCATGGGAGAAGTCCTATTCAGACCCTTTCACCATTTTCCAAAGTGTCAACAAATGATGACTGGCTTTCTGTTCCTCAGGTTCCAGCTTCTGGAATCTCATGTAGCTCTCTGGTCTTGTGGAGGTTCCAGCCATTTTGCTGTTGAAATGCTGAGAGGGCTCCCACCCTACCCTAGTAGGTTTGATGGGCAGATCTGAGAAAGAATGGACATGTGCAGATATTCTGACCCAAAGCCTCTGGGAAGCAGAAGAGAACCAGTCCTTGCTTAATTTACCTGTTCTCGGGGATGCTTTCCTTGCCTTCTGTGGTCTCCTTGTCTGCACCACACCTACTTCACACAGTTAGAAGCATAAACAAGCTTCAAAAATGTTCCTTAGAGGGGATGACTACGCCTTGTGGCAGCATTATAAAGTAAGAGACACATAAGAAATTATTAAACTAGAAAATCACTATCTAGTCACCATGGCAATAATTTTTGCATCCACAGAGGCTAAAATTAGAGGGTAAACACATGTTAAACAGGATGCAAAGTTTCTCCCCACCGGTGCTTATTAATTACAATGGAAAACAATAATTAGCATGGAAGAACTCGCCAGATGTCACCTTCGCCCTATGATCAAACGCAGCATGTCAGAAACGTGGGCTTCCTGCTGTGATGCAGGAAGAAAAACACAGACTCACTTTTGTAGTGTTCTCAACTAAAATCCATCACCCTGGTTTAACCAAGAGGGAACCTGGGCAAACCCGAATGGAAGGAGATAAAGTAACCGGCCATGATTCTCCAAAGGTGTCGAGGTCCTGGGACAAAGGAAATGCTGAGTTTTTAATCCCTGATTGGAGCAATTAGAGAAATAGCATCATTACTGGTAATGTGGGACCTTGGCTTGAATCCAGGGTCCAGGAAGGGGTGCTAATCCTTTGGTTGGAAAAAAAAATGGAATAACAGCTCCTGATTCTGTATCTTTCAAAGTCATTTTTTTTTCTGATTTTGAAATTGTTATGTAAGATGTTAATGTTCAGAGATGAGGGCAAGTACAACTTTATACTGCAAATTTTCAAAATGAAAAGATAAAAGTTTTTAAAAAGGAAGATAGGACTTCCTATCCTGGTGCTTAGAGATAATGGGATCGGTATTCAAGGGAGATTTCCCTTCCTCTAGATATCTAAAAGAGATCCAAGATGTGTGTTTTAATACGTGTTTCCCAGGAGGCTGCGCAATACACCATCCCATCCCAAAACTTTGTTTGGAAGAGTTACTAGAAGAGATAAGAAAATTGACAAAGGATATGAGAGATGAAGATGTAATGGGAAGGAATTAGGTGTTCTATAAACGGGCTTCAGAAAGAAGCTTTGACAAAGGGGAATAGGCAGGAGAGGCAGCTGTGGGTGGTACTGTGAGAGACAGCCTACGGAAGACATTAAGGGGGCAGAAAGAGACCAGAAGGTTAGTAGACACACTGCTGACCTTATACACATAAGTCCTTGACACCTGCTTGTGAGACTGAAGTAGAGACTTCATAATTTGTTCTTTGATTGTTTGTTCTCTTGTCCTATGCGTGCACTCCTCAGTAAGAGGCCTGGACATAGCTTCCGTATTGCTTACTTGTCTACTGCAGTGGCAAATCAAGGCAACTTATAGGAGGAAGCTTAGTATCCAGAGAGATAAGGCTTGTCACTGTCACCGTGGGGAGGTTTGATGATGGGCAAAAAAATGGAGGCAAGACCAGCTGAGAGCTCCATCTCCAGCCACAAGCAGGAAGCAGAGAGCAAACAGGATTTGGTACATAGCTTATAAAAATCCAAAGCCCTCCTCCAGCAAGGCCACAGCTCTTTAACCTTCCCCAAATAGCCCCACCACTGAAGACTAAGTTTTCAAACTTTAGAGCCCCTGGAGAACATGTTCATTCAAGCCATCCCAGTCCCTTTAGCTGTGATACAGTCTAGATACAGTGTTTTGTTTGGAAGACAGACTGAAAAACCATTTACCAGGGAGCCATTCAGAATTATGATTGACAAGCAGCTTGAAAAATCACCAGAGAGGGAAGAGGACCTTAAAAACCCAAACATCTGTAGATCTCCTCATATAGCCCTCTACTGTTGAGCAGACAGTGAGCAGCAAGCAGCAGCTGACCCAGGGAGAGGGACTCCATGTTTGTCACGGGTCATCTTCGTTTGCAGGCTTCTTAAGTCTCTTCCCAATCACTGCCAGGACTGGAAGCCAGAAATGAATCTGAAAAATGGAAGAACAGGCACTGGAATCACCTCAAATGCCTCAGTCACAGACTTTGAAAATCACAGAAAATATCCTTGTGGTCTCTCTTGGTCTTTCATTGGCTGTACTATTTCCAGCTGTGTGTGTTGTAGGCGTGTGATAGCAGCCATGAAAGTGGTCTCCTACTTGAGAAGGAATGAGTTTCTCTCTAGAGACAAGCGATTCATTCCACCCACCCTTAAGGAAGGAGCTACTTTGGCTTTGTTTGTTTTAGTTTTTGAAGACAGGGTTCCTCTGGGTAGCCCTGGCTGTCCTGGAACTTGCTCAGTAAACCAGGCTGGCCTCGAACTCAGAAAATCACTTGCCTCTGCCTCCCCAGTGTGTGCCGCAACTGCCTGGCTTAGTTTGGCATTTGTAAAGCAACTTTACTTTGTTGTCCTGATGACCTGAATATGACAGTGCTTTGAATTATTCTTTTAAGAAGTTGTAGTTTCTTGCTTTCCTCTTATTAATATTTATAAAATCAGTAATGTGTATAGGAAGCATTTATATCTACATCTACATATATGTACATATACATATCGAGGATACAAATAGACTTATTAGAAAATGAGAAAAATTCTTTAAATAGCTGTAGCTATTTCCTTCCAAATTTTACTTTATCTTTGGTATGGATAAGATCTTCCCAATAGCCAACTACAAATACTTTATTCACTGAATGATACTGTAGTTGACCTCCTAACACGAAGCTGTAGAATGTTTTTGTAGAATACCTTCCAAAGTCAACATTAGTTTAATTAGAGGCATACTCCCCCTTGATCTTACCTTTTTAAAGTATGGACTTAGTTTTCTTTCGACTTCTCCCAGTGGCTGCTTTGATCTCTTCTCAAGGAGCTTTGCATGGAGGTATTGGATTCGTTCCTCCTCCACACCAGGGTAGAAGGATGCTGACACCAGAATTTTCAGTTGCATCAGTGTGGGAGACAACAGTCCTAGTACTATTAGCATTACAAGGATAATACTGAGAGGAACCCAAGTCTCAGACACGCTGAGCCGTGGTTTAGGAATGCAGCTGGGTTCAAACATAGATATATTAAAGGAAGAATCATGGATGATATCTTGAGTTCCTTGCCTCTAAAATGAAAGAGTAAAAGAATCAATAAGTATGCCATCTTCTCTGCTTCTGTCTTTCTCCTTCTTTGCAATACACTATTTTTCTGCAAATATTTAGGGAGCATTGTCTAAAGAAGCTGTCCATCAAATCTTCCTGTATGCATCATGATTGGAGCAGAGGAGAAAGGATGATTTTTATCTGTAAAGGTGACAGTGTCTTCCAAAGTGGATTTTGTGGAGAGAATCTAAGAAACAGAGTTTGTCTGCTCTATTGATTCCTGGTGGGTGAGCCACATGCCCATTTTTAAAAACTGAATACTTGGTTCTTAGGGACACAGAGGTGATAAAAGAAGGGGAGTCAGCTCAAATGGAAGAGAGGATTGGTTGATTATACAGCCATTCAAGTCCCAGGCATCACCTTCGAGAAAGGAAGAATTCCCCTTTCTCAGACCGTAGAGTTAAAAGATGTTCACTGAGTCATAGTGTCAGCCAACCCTTTGGAGTCAGGGGACTTCCACTTTAGGCTTTGATGTCTCCTTTTTGGGTGACATGTTGACCCACATCACTCAGGGAGACCCTAAAGTCAAGTTGAAGGAGGTTTTTAAAAACAGGACATTTTTGGTGTCTCTGGGTGTTTGGAAGGGGTTTGAAGAAAGAGAACAAACCAGTTGTTCAGCAGATGACACAGAAGACAGACGATGACATTCAGCCACCAAGCTTAGCCACCCAAGTGGAGAGGGCATGCTGATTCAGCTTTCTTCTCCTCTGACCTGGGAAAGTCATTTACTCTCCCCGTGGATTTGTTTTCTAATTTGGTAACGCAGGAATTAATGGACCAGATCCTGCCCATGAATAAACTACTCCCAGTGTAAATTAAGCACCTTGGGGATGGGGCATTAACCTTACAGACTGGAATACTTAGTAAGTTATTATCACCCTAGTGCCACAGAGCCCTGAGGCCACCCAGAAGTAAGTAAATGACCTCTCGTAGGAAATAAGCAAAACAAAACAAAACAAAAAAACAACCACACCCAGAGAACATCTTGCATCTTAGGCCTACCATCAAACTTGGGCCCTCTCTGTACAAAAGCCAAGTCACATTTGTGCCTAAGCTTCTCTGCTCCCTTTATTAAAAAGACAGTCGGTCTCCAATTAAATGGAGATTTCAGTCCCTGGAGCAGCGGCATGCACTCCTTTTAATACGGTGGAAGAAACAAACACATCGATTGAGTCAGTGATGAGCAACCCTGCAATAAGGAAGCAGCGGGTGTTCGGTCTGGGAAGGAGCTATTTAGTCTGGAAATCTAGCTGGGGATTTGCAATTGGGAGTTGGAGAAAGACAGAGTCAACATTTTTCTATGGGCTTGGTTCGGGGCAGTGTAGAAGACACAATCGCTCTTTCAAAATGCCAAGCAATCTACTAAATGAGACCCTGATGATTTAAAACATGTTTGCTTCTCTTAAGTAAACAATTTGCTGAGATGGTGTTGCTGTGTGATGGATGGAAGGCAAGCTCTGCTATCGGATTGTCCAGGAAAGTTAATGCAGCCCAGAACCTGGCTCGTGGGCTGTTATTACTTACACTGCCCATCCATCCAAGCTCCAGTAGGATCATTTCCCATATTCACTAAAATGTTTGTCTAAAATTGTGTGATAGTAGAAGAGAAATACTGGCAAAACCATGCACCAATGTTTCTCTTCCTGTCTGATTTCTCTTTCACAAATCTGCAGTGACAGAGAAGGTGAGGAGCCTTCAAGGACATCCTGGGATAAGGGCAGGGCATTGCCAGCCACTCAGAAGGAGGCTAGCTGCTGGCACCATCTCCTAGGTACAGCAGAAGAAAACTCAGGAGATGGCACAGGAACCTTGAACTCATATCTGAGCTAGTGCCCACCACCCAGCTGCTGGTATGTGTGTACACAGTGGCCTTTTCCACTGGCTTACAAGCTTTGCAGCAGGACTATTGTGTTCTAGACACTGTTATGTCTCTGGTACCCAATAGAGTCCAAAATGAGTTTTACGGAAAGACAGAACTTGTGGGCATGCTCTCTCTCTCTCTCTCTCTCTCTCTCTCTCTCTCTCTCTCTCTCTCTCTCACACACACACACACACACACACACACTGCAGTCCAAATCAGTGGGGATTCATTGAACAGGCATGGATGTTTGCTATTGGCTGAGACAGAAATGCATGAGAGAAGCAGAAGAGGATGGGGACAACTGAGAGGGCAAACCAAGAAGACCAAGAAGGGGAGAGAGGTGGAGAGAGGCCTTTTGCTTCTGGGCTTCTCGTTTGACTTCATGTGAAGCACATCCTCCATTATCTGCCTGTTCCAAATATCTAGAGCAGCCAAGGACCTTATAATTAAGTGAATTCTTCAGGGGCAGCAAAGAGCTCAGAGTAATCAACTCTAAGAAGCAGCTCAGGATTTGGAGGGCAAGAGCTCTGAGGTTGGCTGAGCTGAGCCAGAGGAAAGGGAAGAGGAACGTGCCTGGAGCAGGGCGCCTTGAGGCACTCAGAAGCCGAGAAAGGGAGAATAGTGTCAGAATGGCCATTCTCCAAGCATCTTGACAAAGAGGGGACAAATCCAACATGTGGAGACAGTGTGTTTACACTGGTCTGCATAGTGTACTTAACCTCGGCATATGCTCCATTCCACCCCCCCCCCCCCCCCCCCGCACACTCCACCTGGTTCAACTCCATAATTTCCAATGTTAAAACACAGGCAAGTGTCTGCTATTGTCCAGATCCTCTGAAATATTAGCATAATCACACATATCCACAGGGGGAAAAAAGGAAAGAAAAAAGAAGATAGGATGTAACCCGTAGTCTTCTCTACTGGCTCATGGCTGCCATCAGGAGGGAGAGGAGTTTACGAAAGGCCAGATTCTTCCCAAAATAGGGGGCACCAGGTCCAAGAAAGACTCTGTCTTTGTGTGATTAAGATTCTCACAGAAGCAGGGCAGTGATGGCGCACACCTTTAACCCCAGAACTTGGGAGATAGAGGCAGGCGGATCTCTGTAAATTTGATGTCAGCCTGGTCTATAAAGTGGGTTCCAGGACAGCCATACAGAGAAACCCTGTCTCAAAGGAAGGGAGGGAACGGAGGGAGAGAGCTTTTCATAGAGGTTTTGGGTGGGTATCAAGGTCCGGGCTCTATCTTTGTCCCTCAGGTGACAGAATCAGAAAGGAGTTGTCCAGTGTGCCGCCAACACTGAAAACCCCTTTCTAACTAGGGCTTGGGAGGCGTCTGAAAAAACACACACACAAACAAACACTCTAATCCAAGTAGAATGTGCTCTGGAGAGAAGATTCTCCTCCTTGTCTCTTCCATCCACCATGACACTGCCCTTCACTCCAGGGTTAGAAGGTCTTGCTATTTAGACTCTAAGCCAGTGTTTCCCAATGGGTGGTCTGTAGCTCACCCACTCTGAGATCACAGGGAGTGTTTATGGAAGTACTCTCCCATTCGAAACAAAACAGTATCCAAAGAGACCTGAAGCTGTGTGTCTGCCCACAGCAATTCTACACACACACACACACACACACACACAGAGAGAGAGAGAGAGAGAGAGAGAGAGAGAGAGAGAGAGAGATGCACACACAGTCACTGACTGAAGGTACGTCACAAAAGAAGATAAGGTGTGCATGGCAGTATTTTAAACCAATTATTGAATTCCTCGACATTCCACTCCTGAGGTAGAAGCCCTTTTTCTGTCAACAAGGACTTGGGCTACATGAGAAAGTTCTCCATTAGAGTCTGGCTGCTCATATCTTCATGGTGGGAGGAAGTTGAGCCCCAAAACTGCCTCCTAGGCTTGTTTATACCCCTTGAGACTCAAGCAAAGTGAGATCAAACTTTAAAACCAGAGCCTTCCTACCCTCCAGGCTACACTGAGTGTATGTTCTCCAAAGAGAAAATGTCCTAGCTCTGGAGTCCTGTGATACTCCAGGAGCCTATGATGCTCCAGGGTCCTGTGATAATCCAGGAGCCTGTGATGCTCCAGGAGCCTGCAATACTCTGTCTGGAAAACAGGTTTCAGCAGTGAGATTAAGTTAGCTGCCTTGAGATGGAGAAATTGTCCTGGTGCAATATCATGTGACCATGTACCTTGTTTGAGAGGGACATAGAGACTTTTTCCAGGCACAGAGAGAGGTGTATGATGCCACCCCAGGCCAAAGAATGCCGGTGGCTAAGTATCCTGGGTGAGACAGAGTGAATTTTCCCCTGCTTTCTAAAGGGAAGATGCCCATGCCTGCAGCACTTAGGCTTCAGTCCAGCAACACTGATTCTAGACTTCTCACTGTTTAACCAAAAGAGAATAAGTGTACACTGTTTTAAGGTACCCAGCCTGTGATCATCTGCTATAGTAGCCACTGATAAAAAGGCAGAATTACACTCTAACACTGGGACCTAATTTAGCCCACAGCTATTGGGCTCCTCCTGTGGTCCAGGCACCTACGATCTGAGACACTGACTGACTTGAGAAGTACCAGCCTTTTGGCAAGGCCCACCAATAGAAAGTCCTCTCCACAGGAAGTGCCCGTGAATCCCTACCTCTCCGTGCAGTTTCAAGTGAACCTCGAGCCCTGGCAAGTTTTGGAGCTGCTTGTTCACGGAGGAAATGAGTCGGTATAGTAGATAGTCCACAGCTGCGAATAGCGCCCACATGCAGAGATGGGTCAGGACAGGAAGGAAAATCAGCCCCAGGCTTCTCCTATCTTTCGGAGTCAGCTGCAAGGATGGGATGACGATATATTTCTTCCTTTCCTTCTTATTCAGAGGGAGGACACAGGGCCGCTGTTGGTGCCTCTCCTTTTCATCAAACTGAACGAACTGTCTAGTGATGTAGACATTCTCATACTTTCGGCCACAAGGGCCCAGGAATCGCTTCATGAAGAGGCCGGTGCCGACTAGGATGAGAAGAAGCCCGGCTAGGGCAAGCAGCTTCTGGCCCAAGGAAGATAGAAGCTCTGTCATGACTACCATATGGGACAGGGCACCCAGGACTTCTCCCTTAGTATCATTCATATGAGCTTCCAGGCTATGTCCGGGACTGAAAAGGGAGACCACTAGAGTCTGGTTCCAAGAAACGAGGTCATCAAATATATTCAGTGGAGTGGCAAGGCCATAAATCCACTGAAGGGCTTCACTATAACGTGCTAAAAGGGGAAGATGTATGGAAAAGCTCTTTGTCCTTAGATTGCAAGTCATACTGTCCAGGAGACCTCTGAAGTTATAAAACACATTTTCCACATGTCCAAAGATCACCACCCCTGTGCCAGCCGCAATCAATGCGTTCCTGCCTTCACGGAGGCCGCAGGAAAGAAAGGCGAGAAGAACAAAGCACCGCACATGCTTGGAACAGCACAGAAAAACACAGATGATGGCCCAGACAGCAGCCAGCGCAGCGATTGAGGACAGGATCCAGTAGAAGGCTGCAGAGAGCAGGCTCACGGCAAGGAAAGCCACAGAACAACAAACCCCCAGGTGCTGGATGAAGTCCAGCCAGCCAGTACTTCCTGGAAACACGTATGTCCTCCAAAGCCTTAGGAAGATACTGGTGCCCAAGGTTTGGAGCCTCATCCTCCCTGTGTCCCTAGAAATAACAAAGAAACCCAGTTCAGACATTGCTCAAAGGTCAGATAGTGGACTAGCTGTAAATACATACCATTTTTAAAAAACCCCTCCTTCTGTCTGTTTCTTCCTAGTGGAACTCCCACCAGGGAGTAGGAGAGATAGAATACATCAAGAGGTGAGGTGATGCCTGGAGGTGGTGGCACAGGCCTTTAACCCCAGCACTCGGGAGGCAGAAGCAGATAGCTCTCTTGAGTTCGAGATCAGCCTGGTCTGTGGAGAGAGTTCCAGTATAGCCAGGGTTGCACAGAGAAACCCTGTCTGGAAAACAAACAAACAACAACAAACCCAACTAGACGGAGAGGTATCTCTGCATTCTTTGGCTCCAGGCTGGCCTTGTGATTGCTTTAGCCAATTAAAGGTGGCAGCAATGTCCCTGTGTCATCTTTAGGCCCGTGACTCACATCTTCATGCTCTATTCTAGCCCTACCCTCTGCTGTGTTAGAGTAGTTACATGTTAACAAACATCATAAACTCACTAGATCAAAGAAACACCTATTTACTCTCTTAGAATTCCTCCTGGAGCTCAATAGTCTAAGACGGGTCCTGAGCTGGGATCCTTCAGGAGGGTCCTGAGGACTGTGACTTCCCTGCACTGGTCCCTGTGGGGGGGGGTCACTGTATCCTCTGGAGCCCTCCTTCCTGGTCTCAAAGCAGCCAGGTTGATTCTCCCCATTACTGTGGCCCCCACCTCTCTCTTTATCATGTCTCTCTAACTCTGATCTTCCTGTCTTTTGTTTCAAAGGAACTGTGACATTTTAGGGCCACCCAGATAGTTGAGACTAACATTTCCTCTCAAGAATTAAATGCAGAGTCCATGTAAAGTGGCATATTCACAGGTTCCAGACATCGGGCACAGGCAGCTTAGGGAAATGTTTAACCTGACTCATAAGGTTCTAACAAAAGCAACACTTGTCCTGCACCTTCCCTTGGCTGAACAAAAGCCTGGGCAATTGTCAAACATGTTGACAATTGTCCCCTCCTCCTGCCCTGCCCCTGCAGCCAAACTTCCAGCTTGAAAATACTTGAAAAATAATCAATGCCGTTTTGTCTTGTGTTTTCTTTTTTTTTTTTTTTTTCATCATCAAATTTTGTCCTGGCTGTAATTATCCATCGACAGAAGCAATGGTCCTGTATCGTGGGCTCTAAGAGTTGAAACAAGCTTTTGGCTGATGGATGGGCTGCAATGTCAACAAGGTGCATTGTAAGCATCTTTAACAGTCATCTATTTCCTGTGCTCTCAGTTTATAGACCAGAAAGCATACCAAGAGCATCCAGACTTGGATGTGGAGTTGGACTGGTGCCACTGGGTTTCTGCTTCCTCTTCTGCCATCCCTGCCTCACGAGTACAGGTTCCTCTGGAGACTTTTCGGGGAAACAAAGCACATTTTTGATCCCTAAATTAAATCATCTTTTTGGGGGGTGTCTTGGATAATTAAAATTAAGGTGTTATAAGACTGCTACTACTCTGTTTATTGTGCATCTTTAGGTCCATGATGAACTTACAATGAGTTGGTTTCGTTTGGACTGATATAAATAAATTTGATGTTTTCCTCTCTTAACTGACATAAAAATATCTAATGAACGTTGTACCATATGTACAAGATTTAATGAGGACACTGGGATATCTTTAAACACTCCCAAATATACTTGATTTCATGCATGTATTGTGGGATCGGATTAATGGGTGCAGCTTGACCCTGAGAAGGCAAGCCTCCCACTGGGTGTGGGAATGATGGATGCGGGTGGTATCTACGGGGCATGAACTGAGCAACCAGAGGTAAAAATCTGATTCCCTTTCTGTGTTCAAGCTGAAGAAGGTTAACAAAAGGCAGATGGAAAGAACGGGCACCCTAGTAATCACATGTAAATTCCCAGTGCATGGCACACAGAACTTGCAGGTGTCATTCTGAATGGATGTTAGCAGAAAAGAGGTGTGAAGAAAACTCTCTCATGTGGTAAAAATGCTGTACATATTGCTTTTGTTCATTGCTGCAACACAATTCTGGACAGAAAACTGTGGCAGGATGGTTAAGGGCAGATGTTCCAAGGTTTCAGTCTGGGTTGTTTAGCCCCAGGATCTTGGGCAGGACATCCAGATACCAGGAAGGCCTTGCAGAGGATATTTGTTACATGCAGACAGAAGGTAGAGAGAGGACAGAATTGTAATTAAAAAAAAAAAAAAAAAAAAGCAGCTCCAGAGAAAAGGACACATGCAACAGAGCTCACGTGGTGGAAGGTTTTGTTTTGTTTGGTTTTTGTTTTTTGTTTTGTTTTGTTTTAATTAAGGGAAAGGGAATGGGCAAAGGGGTAGGGGAAGAGGGAAACTGGTTTCTGGGGATAGGAGCAGCAGAAGAGAAAAGAGAGAGGGCAGAGAAGCAGAGGTAGAGAGAGGTAGAGAGAGGAACAAACAGAGAGAGAGAGAGAGAGAGATGCAAGGTGGGCAAGCCTCCCCTTTTAAAAGGGAACATAGTGAATGTGCACAGGTGGTGCTCTTAGTGGCTGCAGCTGAGGGAGTGTCCTGTCAGAACCCCCAGGGCAGACCAGTACAGATGCCTGAATACTGACAGGAAGCGATCAGTGATAATATAGCCCCCAAAACTCTTCCCTGAGTGGCCTACTTCCTCAGGCTCAGCCCTACTCCCTACGTGTCCATAGCCTCCCAAAATAGTGTCACCATCTGTAGACCAAACATTTCAAATCATGAGCCTATGCTGGAATGCCACATGCTCACCCCCATAAAAATGGCCATTGTCACCTGGACTAGCTTCACAGACAGGAGGGAGGGGGGCTCAGCAGGTGAAGACACTTTGTAAGACTGGTGTGTTTTGGTTAGTTTTTTGGCACCTTGACACAGTTGAGAAAATGCCCCCACCAGACTGGCCCGTGTGCAATCAATTCTGTGGAGAATGGTTCTTGATTACCAATAGATATGGGTAGACCTATTCCACGGGAGGGCGGCGCCAAGCCTGGAGGGTAGTCCTGAGTTATGTTAGAAGAAAGCAGGTTGAGCAAAGCCATAGAAGGAAGTCAGCAAGCAGCACTCCTCCATGGCCTCTGCTCCAGTTCCTGCCCTGACTTCTCTTTACGATGAACTGTAATTTGGATGTGTAAAACTGCCATAAGCCTTTTCCTCCCCCAGTCTGTGGTGTTTGTCACAGTAATAGAAACCCTAACTAAGGCACAAGGCTACCTGAGTTTTGGTATCTGGAACCCACATGAAAGTGGAAAAGAGCGAACTCCACAGATGTGTCCTATGACGTCTACATAGCAATACATAATAAATATACCCCCTCCCCCTCTCCACACTAATATAATAAAGCAAAAGTATTTTTTAATAAAGACTCCCTACAGGAGGCTGTTCTAATTTCATCGAAGGGAAAGGGAAAGGGCGGGACCATGAAGGATCAACATTCTTTATTCCTGCAAGTTTGTGTCATTTCAGAATCAAGTCAGATGGAGGTGAGCCATGCTCGCCCGTGGCCACTATCACCAGTGGGCCTGTGCCCCTAAAACTTACCTGCTGTCCCTATGCAGAAGGGCTTTGTGGACATCGCCACCCACCTGGAGAGGGTCAGGAACTGTGCCTCCCCAGACATGGCCCCCCATACACTTTCTTTACCATTAATTTTAGAATAACAGCAGAACTTTCAGATTCGATCACACGCTGTTATTTGACTGATTGCTTCATAAGTAAATACTAGTCGTCTATTACATCAAGGGCACTTTGCAAGAAGGCTCCATACCCCCTCGCTCAAGTGCATTTTGTGTTTTATGCAGAGGACACTGAAGCCCTGAGCCTTTACTGAAACTTGTGGCTGGCCATCACACAGAGTAGCCAGTGTAGTGGAATTCACAGCAGGCTGCAGTGAGCCTCTGCATCCTGCCTAGATTTCACAAGTCAGGGTTAGGGAACAGGACATTCAGCTCTCTGAGCTTGTTCCTACTGGAACATGCCGCACTTACCACCAGTGACTTGCTCAAGAGCTGACCCAAGTGTCACAAACCCATCTCTGCTCTCTACTCATTGGTTTTCCTCTTCCTCGTCAAAACAGTCAACCCAGTGAGGTTAACATGTCTCCAACCAACAGATTCGTCTGTAACAAAATTAGAACACCCGGTTTCTTTCTTTCTTTCTTCTTTCTTTTTTCTAATTTCCTCTATGAGGTCCCAATTTTTCTCGTCTGCTGAAATATTAATAATGTATATTGTAGGCTCATTTCTTCCTTCTCTTGCCTTTATCCTCATACAGCATGTTCTTAATACAGATATTCCTCCCCAAGTATGAAACAGATTTATAGGCACATTAAAATTTTAGTATTCTCCAATAAAATCTCATATCAATTAAACGAGATGTACGGCTGCAATTTTAGCTCATAGGAGGCACATGTTTACTCAACAAGGGACAGTTCCACCCTTACCCTCCTTTGTCACCCAAAGACACCAACCCTTCCGGGAGAGAGACTGGAGGCCTTCTCTTAGTGCACAGCTCAAAGCACAAAGCAGAGCCCTGACCTTGAACCTGCCCTTCTCTTACTCTCCTGGTTTCTTCCCGTCCTCGATTTATCATTTTTCCTAATTCTTGTTGAAGCTTGGGGAGAGAAATGTCTCCCAACACCCAGGCATTGCCTGTAAATGATATGTCCTGTCAATGCAACACATGTCCAGATCATATGTGCTTCCACAGAAAATGGAGACTTCCTATTTTCTGATCTAGGTAAAGCCTGGACGCTCATGTTCACGGGAGGCTGAGTGGTAAGTCGGCTGCTCCATTTCCCTGGTACTAGGGTGCTATGTTGTTTGCTAGAGTATGGCAATCTCTTTTGCTTCAGTGTGGGTCCCACCATCCAGTTGGCCTTTCTTCAGGTATCCTGATCCTCTCCTTTCCCAGTAGCAGCAAAGTCCAGAGTCTGACGAGCTATCTGCTTGTTTCTTTCTCAGAGACTTTGGAATAA